AGTTTCCTTATCTCTAAAATGAGGGGAAGGGTGGTCTAGATGACTTCTAATGTTTCTTCATTCTCTAAATCTAGGCATTGACCTGAAGGAGGACCATACCAGGGCTGCTTTCTGTTTGGATGCACTTGCTTCCTTGGTCCCAGCCTGTGGTTCCCATGTGGGCCAGTACGATAACAAGGGCCTTTGCAATCTCAGGGGGTGAGTCAGTGCATTTCCTAGGTGATAAGAAACATCTGGTGACACACAGTTATTCATTTTGTCCCCTCCTCCCTTTTAGACAAAGGAAGTGCAGACACCTAGGCATCTAATCAGACGTGTCTAATACTATTCTGTTGGCCACATGCAGGCCGCAAACACTTGGGAAATGTTTAATAAAATAAACAAAAATGCAACATAATTAATATTAATTTGAGGTTTTCCATGGCCAAACATGGCGCATGTTTGAGTTTGCCACCACTGAGTTAAGTAATTTTGTAGAAATCATAAAATTTAGAACTTCAGAAGATCATAGGATCATAGATTTAGAGATGGAAGGGTCCCCTCAAATCTAATCCTTTCATTTTATAGATGAAGAAATTGAGGCACAGTTGGGGAAGTGATTTTCCCTAGGTCACACAAATAGCTAGATAGATAAAGCATTTATTAAATACTTACCGTATGTCAGGCACCATGCTAAGTCTTGGGGTACTACTACAAACAAGCAACATGGTACCCTTTCTAAGAGCTTGCATTCTAAAGGGAGAAAACAACCTATAAAGGGGAGCTGGTAGGAGAACAGGGAACATCAGGTGGAGATGGTAAGGAAGTATGGCAGAGGTCTGAATCTCCCAAGATGAACCTGGCCAATCAGAGTGAAGGGCTGTCCCAGGGGAAGAGTCCAAAGTTCTGGTGGGGAGTAAGTGGAGATAATTATCTGAGTGGAGAGCACATGGTGTAGAGACTGTTAGAAAGTAAATAACAGATCAGGAGCTCAAACTCAGGTCCTTAGACTCTATGTTACAGTGTACTTTCTATGACACCGTAATATTGGTTGTCTAGATTGGAAGCCAAAGGTAGGTACAGTTTATGATTCTTACTCTGCCCCCTCCACAGTACCCTGTAGCAGCCATGGGTACTTCATGAATAGGCTGATGAGGGGGCACTCTCACTTTTCTGTCTTTGGAGTGATAGCAGGGGCTATTTGAATTATCTCAGACTGTCTTAAAAAAGTTTTATTGATACCTTTTTAAAACATGTTGTTCCACTAATGCATTGTTGGTGGAGTTGTGAACTGATCCAATCATTCTGGAGAGCAATTTGGAACTATGCCCAAAGGCATATAACACTGTGTATACCCTTTGACCCAGCAATACCACTACTAGGTCTGTATCCCAAAGAAATCCTAAAAAAGGGAAAAGGAGCCACATGTACAAAAATATTTATAGCAACTCTTTTTGTGGTGTCACAGAATTAGAAATTGAGGGGCTGCCCATCAATTGGGGAATGGCTGAACAAGTTGTGGCATATGAATGTAATGGAGTACTATTGTTCCATAAGAAATAGTGAGCAGGTAGATTTCAGAAAAACCTGGAAAGACTTGCATGAACTGATGCTGAGTGAAGTGATCAGAACCAGGAGAACCTTGTACACAGTAACAGCAACATTGTGCGATGACTGTCTTTGATAGACTTAGCTCTTCTTAGCAATGTAATGATCTAAGACAATTCCAAAAGACTTGTGATGGAAAATGCTATCCACATCCAAAGAAAGAATTATGGAATCTGAATGCAGATCAAAGCATACTATTTTCTCTCTCTCTCTCTCTCTCTTTTTTTGCTTTTTCTTTCTGGTGGTTTTCCTCTTTTGTTCTGATTCTTCTTTCACAACATGACTAATGTGGAAATATGTTTAATATGATTATACATGTTAACCTATTTCAGATTGCATGCTGTCTTGAGGAAGGGAGAGGGAAGGGAAGGGGGAAAAATTTAGAACTCAAAATGTTATAAAAGTGAACATTGAAAACTCAAAATTAATTAATTAAAAAAATGCATTGTTCCCCAGTGACCTTGCTCACCATCCTCAAATAGAACCCTTTCTTGTAAAGAAGTTTGGTTAGCAAAATAAGCCAACACATTGACCATGGTTGATCCCAAATAACTCATGCTGAATCCATGATGTAGCACCTCTTTGCTGAAAGGAAGGAGGCATGTTTTGCTACCTGATCTCTGGAGTTTAATTTTTCTTCCCTAATCCTCTGACGATATCCCAAACTACACCTTGACCCTACATCTTGGGGATGCACTAATGCCTGGAGACCCTAGTACACACTTGTCAGGCATCCCATTCTCAGTATAGTGGAAGGACTTTGCCTTTGCAGTCCAGAAAACTAGGTTTCAGTAGCAGCTGTGCTACTCAACTGCCTGAGTGACCAGGGTAAGCTATCTCCCTTCCCTGGACCTCAACTTTCTCACCTATAAAATGAGAGGGTTGTTTGGATTACAAACAACTGAGGTCGTTACAACTCCAAGGCCTATTATCCATCTAATCATATTAATGAAAAACCAACCCTCTCTCCCATCTCCCCAAACTCCCTCCCCGCAATACCTGATGATAATCTATCAATAAATAAAACTCAGATTCATAGATTATTAAAATTGGAGGGAATCTTAGAGATCATCTATTTCAACCCTGTCATTTTATAGATAAAGAAGCTGATGATCAGAGGGGAAGTAACTTTCCTGTTAGGTAGTTGAAAGATTGGGACTAGAACCCAGAATGCCTGACTCCCTGCTCATCCTAATATCATGTCCCTTTGTTCCTAAATTTATGTTCTGGGCCTTCCAAAGAAGACTTTCCACTGCTAGCCCAGCCCAACCTCTTTAAAGTCTGTATTGTACAAGGCACACCTTGGTCTGTTCCCTTCTCTCAGAGGACTCTAAACATTACAAGCACCATCTGAACAATAGCTGCTCCAGGCCCAGGACAGTTGGAAGTAACGTCATGCAGGCACAGACAACTCTAGGCCCCTGGAATGGAGTGAGGTTGGAGGGAAGAGGCAGGTCATTAAAGGAACATCTGTAGCATAGTGCAGAAGAGATAATTGGACTTATAAATAAAGAGACTTGTATTTGAGTCCCATGTCTGCTATTTACTCACTATGTGACCTTGATAAGTCACTGCTCCTCCCTGGGACTCAGTTTCCTTCTCTGAAATCCTCTGTTGTTGCTTAGTTGTTTTCAGTCGTGTCTGACTTTTCCTGACCCCATTTGGGGTTTTCTTGGCAAAGATACTGGAGTGGTTTGCCATTTCCTCCTCCAGCTCATTTTACAGATGAGGAAACTGAGGCAAATAGGGTTAAGTGACTTGTCCAGGGTCACACAGCTAGTAAGTATCTGAGGCCAGATTTGACCCAAGGTCTTTTGGACTCCAGGTCCAGTGCTTTATCCACTGTGCCACCTACCTGCCCCAAATATACAATCCTAAGGATCTTACTTGTCCTCCAAGGTTCAGCTCAAGCACCTGCACCATCCTAAGACCTTCTCCAACTGATCCAGTCCATTTGGCTCTTTTCCTCTTCTGATGTCTTATAGTATTTAGATTCAATCACACAAGCTTTAGTGGCTCTCTAGTGCCACTGGGATAAAATATATTCATCCTGGCATTTAAGGCCTTCTGAAATCTAGCCTCAATCTACCTTTCCAGCCTCAGTTCATATTACTCTCCTTCAAAGACTCTAGGTTCCAATGATGAAACTGCATTATTTGTTACTATTTGTTATTTGTCAGCCTCAAGGCTGACATTCCATTTCTGCCTCTCTGTGTTTATTTGAGTAGGTTCTCTCTTTGACTTGGAACTTGGAATACAAATGAGGACCCTCTTTCCTATCTCCGAATCCTTATCTTTTTCCCATTCTCACCTTAGGGGCTACTTCCTTTGTGCCCCGTTCCCTAATCCCTTCAGTAAGTATTTTCTCTCTACCTCCTTCTTCTCTGGGTATACATGATTTCCTTCTAGTAGAATATAAGCTCTCTGAGGGCAGGGACTGTTTCATTTTTGTCACTGTATCTCCAGTGCCTAGAACAGCACCCTGAATATAATATGGATTTAAGAAATGCTTATTGAATTGAACTGAATTCTCTTATCCCTGTTATCTCAGCTTTTGAACTATTTTTGTATTTCCTAATATGCAAAACTGGACTAGATGACCCCTTGGGTCCTTCTGAACCCTAAAAATATTTATCAGTGCTCAGTGCACATGGTGGACAGTCCAGGGGACTGTTGAAAGTTGAAAGTGTTGAACGTGTTTTCCAACAGCAAGTCATTGCTGCCTGTCGTCTCCTTGTCTGCCCTGGCCAGACTCACTGAACACCACATAGAAACATAACCTTTATTGCACACGGCGCTGGTTTTTTTTTCATAGAAAAAGGTATTAACACATAAGCATCTGCAAAGTGAAGCAACTCCTGGTTTTCTTGGAACAGTAAAATCGCATGCAATGTCTTTGAGATTTGGGATTTTGGTCTTTGTCCAAACCAACTGAGATCAGGCTCGTGGGAAAGAGTAAGTAGGGAGTAAGGGAGAGAGGGAGAAGAGGGGGAAAATCGCTGAGTCTTTGTGCCTCTTTCCTCAAAACAAAGTGAGAGAAATCTATGTGTGCGTATACACACGGACGTGTGTATGCGCACACATATATATCTAGCTTGCCTATATATGTGTATATACATACATATATACACATATATACGTATAGTGTGTGTTTGTGTGTGTGTGTGTGTGTGTTTGACCTGTAGTCAGATTCTTTGTGCCCTGGCTTCATGAGAAGAAGAAAATAGTTTCATTTATACAAAAGAGTTCTATGTACAAGAGTTTGTGAGTTGGGGTGGGTTTTTGCTGTTGCTGCTGTTCTTTTCTTTTTCTGACAGTTTAATATAAATAATGCGAGAAAACAGTTTGTGAATGAGGGGGCTGGGCGGTGGGTGGTCCTGGCTTGGGGGTGCAGCTCCACCTCCTGGTGGCCCCTACACCAGGGTATAGGACTTGGAGTACGCTCCTGCCCCCTGCTTCTGAGACCTCCCCACTCCCGACGCGCTCATCTCAAGAAGTGAGTCCCTGGAGCCTCCCACTTTGGTGTGGGGTCCTCCAGCCCGAGGCGGCTCGGTGCTGGGGGCCGGGGGAGCAGTTGCAGTGGTGGTGGCTGCAGGGGGGGGTTCGGAGGGGGGGGGCGGTGGGGGGGGGGGGGGCGGTGCCGGTGGGTGGGCCCGGCATGGCCAGAGTCCTCTGAGGTAAGGTAGCTGTGGAGGCTGGAGCCCCAGGGTGGGGGAGGCCCAGGGGCTTGCTGGCCGGGTCCAGGGTCAGATGTCGGGCTTGGCTGTGGTAGGTCCGGGTCATGTTTCGGATGGAAGCCTCGCGGGGTGGGACCACAGGGCAGGGCTCATGCCCATCAGCCTTTCGGAAGAAGGTATCGGACTTGACATACAGTGGTAGGTTGCAATATTCACCTGGAATCACAAAATCACAAAATCTTAGATCTGGAAGAACCTTAGGGGCCTACTGGTCTAACATCTTATCCACTACCAGCATCCCTCCTATTATATCCCTGACAGACTGGCCATTTGGCCTGTATGAATTCCTCCTGTGACTGGGAGCTCATTATCTCCAAAGATATCGTAGTCTTTCTTATGTTGAGTGGAAGCCAGCCTTCCCATAACTTCAAGCCTTGGCTCCTAGTTCTATCTTCTGGGGCTCTATAGAGAAAGCTTCTTCCACACAACAGCCCTTTCATCTCTTTCTTCTCCCCGAAGTCTTCTCCAGGCTAGACATCCCTGGTCTCTTTATGTTAAATAGTTTCCTGGCCCCTTGCCACCTAGGTCATCCTCCTCTGAGCATTCCACAGTTTGCCATGTGATACCCAGGCATGAACCCAATACCCCAGCTTTTACAGGGGACAGAGGATAGAGCCAGTGTCAAGATCCTTCTGCTTTGTCAAAAAATGGTCCCCGAGTTTGAGGTTCCAAAGTCTAACTCACTGGACCCTGGCATATACAGCTACTTCCTGAGGATCCCTATGTGGACTAAAACACTTTTAGGATTATGAGCAGCACCATTTATATACTGGATTGGCTTTCCTTTCAGCCCCCAGCATACTTTGGGGCCTGAACTGTGCACTCAGGGAATCTACTTTTATTCTAGCATAAGCCTTAGTGGAACATGATTGAGAAAGTAAATTTGCTGACTTCACCTCCCCCTGGTGGTCCCTGGCAGCTCCTCCTCCTGGTGACCCCTTGTAAAGCACTTAGCACAGTCCCTGGCACATAGGAGGTGCTTAATAAATGTTTGTTTCCCTGTTTGTATCCCATAGCAACATTGTTTTGTAGAAGTAAGGAACTGGAAACAAAGTAGATGACCATTGATTGGGAAGTGGCTAAACACATTATGATGAAAAGGTTATTCGTGTTGGTCAGTAACGTCCAACTCTCTGTAACTCTATTTTGGGGTTTTCTTGGCAAAGAGACTGGAGTAGTTTGCCATTTCCTTCTCTGGCTCATTTTATAGATGAAAGAGGCAAACAAGGTTAAGTGACTTGCCCAGGGTCATGAAGCTAATAAGTGACTGAGGCCGGATTTGAACTCAGAAAGATGGATCTCCCTGACTCCAGGCCTGGCATTCTATCCACTGTACTACCTGGCAGCTAGGTGGCGCAATGGATAGAGCCCTGAGCCTGGAGTCAGGAAGACCTGAGTTCAAGTCCAGCCTCAGACACTTACTAATTGTGTGACCCTGGGCAAATCACTTAACCCTGTTTGCCTCAGTTTCCTCATCTGTAAAATGAGAAGGAAATGGCCAACCACTCCAGTAACTTTGCCAACAAAGCCCCAAATGAGGTCATGAAAAGTTGAAGAATCGGATAGGCCTGGACCACAAGAGTGATATAAAAGGACTGAGATTCAAATTCCAGATCTGCTTCTTACTTATTACCTGTGTAACCTTGGGTAGGTCACCTTGAATGAAATCTAGGTTTTATTTATTTATTTTTTAACCTGGAAAACACAGGGTCAGACTTTATGTCCTCTAAGGAATCTTCCAGGTTTACAGCTAGGATCCTCTGATCTTTAACGTCCCTTGGAGCTCTAAAATCCTATGGCAGTGAAAAGCCCCCCACTACTAGGCTAGTTCAGTTGTCAGGAGGCCAGATGACTGGGCTACTTCACTCCCTGGCCAAGGGGCAAAGAAACAGGTTTCTTCCTTTTCAGGGAGAATCTCTTCCCATGCTACACACCTCTGGGCCAAGCCAATAAATGCCTCTCCCTGGCCAGGCTGATATTCACTGGGTGTATCTGGGTCTGGCTAAGGGCTCCTCTGCTCAGGACACTCCTACTGCCCTCCCCCTTGACAGTCAATGGGGAGGTCTCTCACTCACTTTTGTTGGCACGGTGTGGGATGGGCACAGCCACATTCTTGCCCCGGTCACTGTCTTGAGGCTTGGGTGGTGAGGCAGTGAAGCGGCAGATGCCTGGCTCAGAAGGGGTGCTCATGGAGGTCATGCTGTCAGCATTCTCGTTGGTGCCTGTGGTCATCTGGTCCGAGGAGCTGTCGGAGATGAAGCACTCGGTGATCTCAAACTTGGCGTGCTGCAGCTGCTCTTCCAGCTTAGCATGCTCGTAGGCTCGGGCCAGCTCCTCGTAGGTGGAGGAGGCGCTCTCTGTGGACACCATGCTGTTCCGCCCTTTGTCTAGGGGTGAAGAGGCAAATTAGGGCAAGCCAGAGAAAGACAGAGAGAGAGAGAGACAGACAGAGAGAGAGAGAATGAGGGAGGTAATGAGAGAATGAGAGAGAGAGGAAGAGAGACAAAGACAGAGACAAAGGGGGAGGGGGAGAGAGACAGAGAGATCGAGAGAAATACAGAGAGAAGAGAGAGAATGAAAGAGAGAGAGGGAGTGAGACAGAGTGAGAGGAAGAGAGAGACAGAGAGGGGAATAGAGGGAGAGAGAAAGAAAGGGAGAGAGAGAGAGAGAGACAGAGACAGAGATAGAGACAGAGACAGAGACAGGGGAAGAGACACAGAGAGAGATGATTACATGGCACAGTGGAAAGAGCAATAGAGGCAGAAAATCTGGGCTCGTGATTGTGACCAAGTCTGCCTTTTTCTAGCTGATTGTGGGAAAGTCACTTAGAAGTGAAAGGTTAAGTAACTTGTCATAGTGAGGTCAGAGACAAGATCTGAACCCAGGTCTTCCTGCCTCCAAAGTCAGCTTCCTATCTACTATCCACTATCCAAAATAACATACTGCCTCTCTCTGGGGCTAATAGTGGGCAACTATTGGTGTAGTGGAAAGAATATTGATTTTAGAGTCAAGTGAATGAGGTTCAAATCTTGGCCATGTTACTCACTATCCATGTGACCTTGGTCTAGTCCCAGCTCTCTCTGGGTCTTTAAAAGGATGAAGGACGGACTAGATGAAAGATCCTTTTGAAGATTCTAAACCTCACGATCTATTATATATCATCCAGCTCACTGGGCTTTTATGGGAACTGAATTAGCTAAAATGTATGAAGTACACTGGAACTCTAAAGTGCTATAGGAATGTGAAATTGTTGCTGTTATTGGCATAACCTTGATCTTGATCTGATTAACAAGGAAGGCATCCTTCACCACAGCTCGGCCTCTGTGGATGTGAGGCCATAAAGTGTGGATGGCTCACAACCACCAAGGACAGCTCTTAAGAAGGTGCTGGTGGGGGTCAGAAATGGGATCTTGGGGTGTTGGGAGCTGGCACATTTTGAATGCTTGAGAATAGGGAGTTACCCCTGGATTACAGGGATAGGAGGATGTAGTGGAAAACAAGGATCAGAGTTGGAGGAACCAGGTTTGAGCCTCTAAGCTGTGTGACTGGAGCAAGTCACTTAACCCCTCTTCGTTTTCTTATCTATAAAATGGGGACATTAACAGGTGGGATCTTTACATCCCACGGCTGCTGGGAAGAAGGTACCATGTAAACCTTAAAGTGACAAAGAAATTCAAATTTTTATAATCAATAATACTAATAGTCATATCATGCACCAGATTGCTTAAAATGCCACCAAGACTTTTAGTATTAGTAACCATATCACCATAATTTATTTATTCATTTTGGTTCAGAACTGTGATTTCATCTTTTTTGGGAGCTCCATGGTGAGGAAACTCCATTTATTAATACAGATTAGCAACTGTCCTGCAATTTACCCCCCTAGAGGACTGTCTGTCTTAAGACTTAACATATGTCAAGGACCTATGATTTCACTGGTGTGGGAACTCCTTCCACTGAGGAAAATCACATACAACCCGTCCATAGTCTCAGAGAGTGGCCTGCTGTCCAAAGAGGAACTTGCCCACAGTCACACAACCAGTGAGAGTCAGAAGGAGGAATTGAACTCAGGTCTTCTGATTCTAAGGCCAGTGCACTGCGCTGTGCTATCTTTTACAAAAATGAATAAAATAATTTTTCTACTGTTTTGCCATCATTTTTACTTTATTGTCCTTTTCCCTAAATAGTTTCCTGTGCATTATTCAGTTGTGTTCTACCTGTCTGGATCCGGAGGTCAGGAGAATTGAATTCTTGATAGAACCCATCAGGGAATCTTAAGCCCTTAGAGGTTAAGTGCTCAAAGTCATACAGGGAAGGGGCAGCTAGGTGGTGCAGTGGATGGAACACTGATCCTGAAAGTCAGGAGGACCCAAGTTCAAATCCAGGCTCAAACACTTACTAGCTGTGTGACCCTGGGCAATCACTTAACCCTGTTTGCCTAAAAGAAAAAACAAACAAACAGGGAGTTGGTGCCCTTCCTGGGAATAGAACACATAATTGGCTTGTGTGGTTTTTGTTCTTTTCCCTTGGAGTTCACAGATACAGAGCTGGAAGGGACTCTGGGGTTAGGATGCAGTCATGGATATGTTGCAATAATGGGGCTGAGGAATCAGGACCCACCTGTGTCCTGGGAGAGGCTGGCACTATAGCTGTCACTCTCAGTGACAGTGATGCCATGCTGGGATCCTACAGTGCGCCAGTCAGAGGTGAGGGTGCGGGCAGGAGTGGAGGCCTGGCACTTGGTTAGTGTCCATTGGCTGGAGTAGCGATTTCGGGTGCTATGGGCGGACTTGACATTCTTTCTGGACACAGGGTCTGCACAAAGAAGCAATGGGAGGCATAGAGGTTTTAACTTTTCGTGGCCTATACTGAGGGCATTTTGTTTAGGGCTGGAGGGGAAGAAGTAACCTTGGAAAATTAGTTCTGGATGATCTTTTCCTAGGTTCTTGCTCCACCCCCCCTGCTGTGAAGGCTGTCCCACTTGTGTGGTGGGCACAAAGAATGACCCACGTCACATCAAGAACCTTGGGGTTGGGGTGGGTAGGCGATAGTTGGAAATTCTTCTCCCTGCCTTATAACCTTAGTGACTCTACCTCTCCCTTCTCCCTTTTCTTGCTCTTCTTGTGCCCTCTCCTTCATTTTGTGGTCCCTAGGGCTCTCCTTAAGTTTTGAACTGTTGTTTGGGAGGAAGCCCCAAACCTCTGGTCTACCTTAGACCACAATGGCCCTGAGGATGGGAGAGCAAGGAAGGGAGAGAGATCAGGGGACATGGTGATGACTGAGCCAGAGTCCTAGGGGATACAGGAGGGAAGTGAAAGGGACAGGAGGGCAGGGTTTCCCACGTACTGGTGCCAGGCCGGATATCAGACATGTCGATGAGGGGCCCTGTGTTCTGGATGAGGGCAGGGTGATGCAGGGAGACCCCTGTGCAGAAGCTTTGGGGATTGACAGCCTGGCTGAACTCTGTGTCTGTCACTGGGATGGTGGCTTTGTCGTCCCCTGGAATGAGAATAAGAATCACAATCCTTGATTTGTCAAGTCGACAAGCATTTATCAGGCATTTACTATGTGCCAGGCACTGTGCGAGGTGCTGGAGGTACAGAAAAGGGCGACTTTGTGTCTTTACCCAACCCTGTGGAACAGGAAGGGAGGGATTATTAATACTTCAGGATACTGAGGCCCAGAGGGGTGTGACACACCCAAGATCACCCGGCTGTTGGTGAACCTGGGGCTGGAACCTTGGTCCATTTCTACTGGGCCATTAGTAGCCATGATACCACGGAAGTCATTCACCTCTGGTGACTATACCCAAGCGAGGTCAGAGAAGATCTTAGGTTAGAAGGTGGGGATGAGCAGGGAGTCACAGCTGGGCCCCCCAGAGGCCTTGCTCACCCAGCTGTTTGATACCCTCCTTGTCCTCAATCAGCAGCTGGACCCGGGGGATGTCAATGTGGAGCCGAGGGCCTTGGGGCGGCCCCTTCACAGGTGTGTCCAAGCTTCGATTGCTCTTGCTATGGAGGAAAGGAAGGATGCCCAGATAAGAGCCGTCTCAATAGGCACAGAGGGAATGTTGGTCTGTTAGAGAAGGTGATGGTGCAGGGACTGGGCTGTGTGGCAGGTAGGGGGCAGCTAGGGTCTTGTGCCCTAGTCCTGGGAAGGAAAAGAAGGGGCTGGGGTTCCTGTGCTCAGCATAGCTCTCCATCCCAGCTTTATAGGAGCGTAGGGGAATTGTTTGCTCACCTTATCAACATTTCTGCTAAACTCTTGGCATCTGTAAAACACAAATGAGAGAGAGAGGTGCTGAGTGAGGAGGGAGGAAGGATACTGAGGAGTAAAACTGGTAGAGGACTTTGGAGTCAAGGCACCAGCCCCCTGTAGGGGGCTCAGGGCTGAGTGGATTGATGGCCTTCACCTTCCTGTGTGTGTGTGTGGGTGGGTGTGTGGGTGTGTGTAATGGGAAAGGGCACATAGCCAGAGGGAGAGCCATTCATGGACAACCAAAGACAATCCCAAACCCTGTTCCAGAACTTCCCCTTCCCCTCCTATGCCTTTGTCCCCATTTCCTCCCAAAGACCAGCATGGGTTTTATGTCTGACTTTCCCTTCCTCTTCTCATTGGAGACATGAAGGCTTAAAGATGAGGAAAGCTTAGACGAATCCGCAAACCATACCAAGGCTCAGGTGACTGAGAGCTGGATAAGGAGCCCTGATTAATTTTTTCTTCCCTCGGAGAGGTGAGTTGGACGCCCTCTACCCCAGCCCCACCTCCAAGTATGCCGCAGGCCTCATAGCCCTAGGGGTGAGAAAACCTCAAAGGTCCTAGCCCCTTTACCTCGGAGTCGCTTCAGCCTTTTCTCCTTCCTTTTCTTGCGAATGATGATGAGCAGGGCCACCCCTAGGGTGGCCAGGATGACGGGGCAGGCGATGGAGAAGAGCTTTTTCACATCATCCCCCTCTCCCTGGGCTGACTTGATGGGTGGGATGGTGCCTAAGACAAGAGGACCAGGGAGGGCTCAGACAACGGGGCTGAGTTAGGCTGAGGTGGAGAAGGTTCTCTCTCATGTAACAACTCGGTCCCCCTCTACAGACTGCGAGTAAAGATTATAGAGCACTGGGCTGCGAGTCAGGAAGATCTGAGTTCAAATCTGGCCTCAGACACAGGTTAGCTATATGACCCTAGGCAAGCCACCTCACCTGTTTGCCTCAGTTTCCTCATTTGTAAAATGGGGATAATAATAGCACCTATCTCCCAGGGCTGTTGTGAGGATCAAATGAGATAATAATTGTAAATCTCTTAGCATAGTGCTGTATAAATGTTAGCTATTATTGTTATTACCTCCTAGAGTTGTGAGGATTAAATGAGATAATATTTGTAAAGTGCTTAGCACAGTGCCTGGCATACAGCAGGAACTATTATTATTTATCTTGTTTCTTGTCATTCCCCTCCTGTTTGTTTTCTCCCCTCTTCCTACCCCCAGTCACAGAACTGTGACTTCTCCCTCTGCTTTTCATCTTCCTATAACCATCCTTTTTCCTGTGCTTCTCCATCAGAACCTTATGGTTGATACCCCTCTTCCTTGGGCCCCCAGATTCTGGAGATGGGTCACTACAGCTCACATTCATTTCCTGCTTTGAAGTTCTCAAAGCTCTTTCCTCATAAATGTTCAGTGAGGAAATAGCATTAAAAATTAATAAACTTATGATGTTAATGCTATCTTACAGATGAGGAGGCAGAAACTCAGATAGATGAAGAAGCTTACCCAAGGTGACACAGAGTCAGAGGTGAGACTTGATCTGGAAGCATTTAAGACCTTCCTCCTCCTCTCTTTCATGTCAGCTGTGAGCTGGCAGTTCCTCTACTGGGCCGGCTCTCTTGCCAGCCAATGGGGCCTGATGAGGTTGGTCCAGAGAAGGGGTCCTGCTATGCTGAGCCATTTGCTATATCTAAGTGCCAAGTGATGGCCCTACCCTTAACCAAAATCTGCCTCCAAACTCACCTTCTTCAGGAGGACTTCCTGGCTTAACTCTGCCCCATTCTGTTTGCTTGTTTATTATGGGATTCCCTAATAAAGGCATTTGGCAATACTTGGTAGGTTAATACGACTTTTTTTTTTATATTGACCTTATTTCCCTATGAGGGTCACAGGTCATAGATATAGAGCTGTAAGGGATCTTTGAGGCCAACGAGTTCAACCTCTTCTGAGACACACAGGCATGAAATGACTTACTCAGGGTCAACCAGCTAGGAAGTACCTGAGGCAGGCTTTGAATAGTGGAAGGAGCACTGGCTTTCCTCATCTAGAAAGCAAGGGACTGGACCAGGTGGCCCGGGAGGAGTCTTGCAATTCCAGTTCTATGATCCTATGATCTTATCTAATCTCTTCATTTTACAGATGAGGTAACTGAGGCCCAGAAAAATAAAGAGACTTGTTGGTGGTCACACAGGTGGCTGTCCATCTCCAAACCACGCCGCCTGCCCTCTGACATTCTTCTGGCCCCCACGAGCACTCAGACTCTTGTCCCTGGGACCCTAGCCACTGATAGGTGGGATTTTACCTGATTTTGCCCGGAATTGGGTCATCATGCCACTTCTTGGCTGTCTCCAAACCATGCAGCCTGTATTCTGGTCCTGCAGTGCCCTGCTCTCCTATATGTCTTGTCTTTCCTATTGGATTGTAAGCTTTTTGAGGACAGGAACTATCTTACTTTTGTATTTGTATCTTTGGTTCTTAGCACAGTGTTTAGAACATAATAAATGTTTAATTAATGCCTATTCATTCATTCATTCATCCAAGTGATACAGTGAGTATTTGAACCCAGGCTCACAGACTCCAAAGCCAATCAGCCCCGTATCTACTACACCATGAGTGAATTTTCTGTTTCTTCTGTGAGACAAGGACTTCCTCGTAGGCATAGCCTGGATTTCTCCTTGTGATAACATGATCCTTCCCTTACTATGAATAGAAATTATCTACAAATATCTACAAATATAAATTATCCATTCTTACTACTATATATTAAAACTATTGTGATACTATAAAAATCCCAAGACATGGCTGTGCAAAGTAGCTTTCCTGGGTGGCAGAAGGAAACTTAAGAAAGACCAGGTTGTGAAAGCTATAAATCGGAGCTGGCAGCTGGGCCAGAACAGATAGGAAACATCCGCTGGCCTTGGTGGGTCATTGGTCTTCCCTGCTCTGCAAACGGGTTAAAACCTAATGTAGGCCAGGAGCAAGAACTTGGTGGGTAGTCTGACTAACAATGATGATTGTGATGCCAGAAATTAAAAGTCTTCTGGATAAAGAACCATGGGGAGGACTAGCTGGAGGACTTTCTGTTCCATTAGATGGCAAGCTCCTTGAGGGTAGGGGATGTCCTTTGCCTCTTTTTGTATCCCCGATGCTTAGCACAGTGCCTGGCAGATGGTGGGTGATTAATGAACATTTAGTGACTGATTCTCAAAGGATCATTTAGAAGGACTAGATTGAGGTCAGGCTGAGATGTTCGATGTGAACCAGGAGTTAAGCTTCATCTAAGGTTTCTAAGATCTAGGTTGGCAGGATCCTTAGAGATTATTGAATCTAACACCGTCATTTTATAAATGAGAGAACTGAGTGTTGGAGCAGAGAAGTGACTTGCCCAAGGTGACATAGCTATTAAGTGGCAGGGACAAACTCAGGTCTTATAATTCCAAATACAGCGCTCTTTCCACTACAAACACTACTTTCCACGAAGCTGCTTTGCCAGGAGACAAAGAAAGGATTAGGCTGAAGGAGCATTTGCTATGCCTTTGATTAGATTGTAAGCTCGATGAAGGGAGGGTCTGCTTCTCACTGAAATTTTTTTCTCTCATTGCCTATGAACCTAGTAAACTTTTAATAAATGTTTGCTGAATTGGATAGCATTGTAACCCAATAAGCTTATATTTATTTTTAATTTTTTCAATCCACAAGTATTTATTAAGCCCTTATGTCCAGGCACTGGGGATACAAATGCAGCGAATGAAACAGTCCCTTTTTGCAAGGAGTTTTTATATTCTACAAGGAGAGATAACAAGTACATGAAATATATAGAGGATAAATAGAAAACTTTTATTTCCTTCAACAGTTCCTCATATTATATGTTTTCAAGGTCTCTGGATGTATTCCAGCCTGTCAGTGTCTCCCTGAAAAAGTGGGACCTAAACTCAATACAAGACTTCAAGTGTGATACGGGAAGTGCAGGGTGTAATGGGATCGTTATTTCACTTATTCTTCTAAGCCAATGTTTTTACATAGTTATGTTTTATTTTACTCTTTCAAACCTGAATTCTTCCTCAGTAAATTTTTTTTAAACCATGACTGTGTCTCAGTTGAATTAAGGGAAAGAGAGATTGCTGACTAATATTCAGCCTAGAGAATCAGGGAGCACATTGGGGCTCTGGGGAATGATGATGATAGCTAAAGAAGAAAGTGGGGTTCTCTTTCTCCCTGGGGGCACTCATTTTTCATCCCAGGTCAGGTCTCCCCTCTTAGAGGGCATTCCGTTCTCTGGAGCTGTAAGGGATCTTTGAGGCCAATGAGTTCAACCTCTTCTGAGACACAGAGGCATTAAATGACTTACTCAGGGTCAACCAGCCAGGAAGTACCTGAGGCAGGCTTTGAATAGTGGAAGGAACGCTGGCTTTCCTCATCTAGAAAGCAAGGGACTGGACTAGGTGGCTGGGGAGGAGTCTTGCAATGCCTGGTGCTGCCCCGTCCCCAAAGGGTCACCCCTCCAGCTAGGGGGCTGAACTCACTTCCATCATAGTCCAGTGTTGCAAACTGAGTGGTCTCATTGCCGCAGCCCGCGCTATTGCAGGCCCTCATGCGTAGCTCGTACCAGGTGGCTTCCCGAAGTTCTGCCAGGAACACTTCCCCCGAGCTGTTGGCCCGCAGGCCCTGCCAGGCCCACGTGCCCTTGGGCCTGTACTCCAGCAGGATGGATGTGATGGGGCAGCCCCCACTGCTCCAGCCCTGCAGGTTGAGTCGGGCGTGCGTGGAGTTGATGTGGGTGAAGAGGTGCTGGTCTTTGCTGAAGGACGGTTCTAGGTGGGGCGGGGTGGGGAGGAGACCAAGGAGTAAGGGGAGGGGGAAGAGGGGGGAGGGAAGGGTAGGGTTAATGTGGTCTGGACCAGCCCCATTGTCTGCCCCCAAGGTGGGTGTTCCCCTGGGGGACTGTTGGGACCTTCAGGTCCCTCCTCCACCTCCTCCTCTTCTGATGGTGGCCCCAGGTGGTTAAGGGGTGAGAGGCAGATTGGGGTAGGGTTTCCATAGGGAGCAGAGGCAGGGGGAACCACAGGAAAGTGGGAAAAGATGGAGAGCAGGGAAGGGAAGGGGAAGGTAAAAGGAAAGAGAGAGAAGGGGAAGGAGGAAAAGGGGTAAAGGGGGAAGAGGGGGGAGGGGAAGTAGAAATCTTTCCCCCACCCCCAAAGTAGAGAAGAGGGATTGGTTTCTACCCAACTCTGTCCATATAGAAGCTAACACTAAGGGAAAGAGGCTGAGCTCCAAAACTGCCTTCCTCATCCATCCCTGTAGCCTCAGCCCCCATATCCAACCTCTGCCCAGGGGCCCTCTCTGTTTTAACCTGTTCCTGTTATTCCATCTTCCCTAGAATTCTATCAGCTTTCCTCTCTCTCTAGTCTCCCCTCTCTTCCCTGGATCCATCCTCACCTTGGTCCACTGGTGTCCCTAGTTCTGGGCTCATCCTTCAGTCACAACCTTGACCCCTCTTGTGCCAACCTTGGGCTACTTCCCTATCCTGAACCCTCTGTGCCTGGATGAGTCCCACCAGCTTCTGACTCCGAGGTCCATCCCACTTCCCAGCCCTGGTCCTCACCCCGCCCGTGGGTCTTGGCCTCGATGATCTCGCTGATGCGCCCGGCGCCCACACTGTTCTTGGCGGCCAGCTTCACCTTATACCAGGTGCCACATTTGAGACTGTCCAGTTTGAAGGAGCGCTCACTGGAGCTGATGAACACATCCTTCCACTCCTCACTGTTGTCCACAGAGTACTGTAGCACAAAACCTGGGGGAGGAGGAAGGTGATCAACCCTGGTCAGTAGTGGGGTCTGGGGAGGTCCACACCCCAACCTGACAGTAGGATCTGGGATCCTGATGGGGAGAGGAATAGGGAGGGGCCATATACAAATTAGATGAAACTTCTGTCACCTATATCATAGATTAAATTAAGCCACAGTTGGGAGTAACATGTCATTCTACTACTTTCCTCCACATGCTTGCCAAGATGGGCTTCTTATTTCTCTCCATTCTCTGCATACATTTTGCACATTTTCCTGTCTCTATGGCCTTTGGTCTGGTTGTTTCCTTTGCTTGGAATGCCCTCCTCCTACCTTTCTACCACCGAAATCCTATCTGGGTCCAGCTCAAATGCTACCTCTTTCATGAAGCCTTCCCCCCATTCCTTATCTCTCAATTCAGAAATTACCTCTCCCCTTTATACTCGTGTTAACATTTAAGATGTATAAAGGACTTTATATATGTTAACTGATCCTCACAACAACCTTGTAAGATAGGCACTGTGGGTACAATTATCCCCATTTTGCAGAAGCTCAGAGAAATCTGGTGACTTGCTCAGGGTCAGTCACACAGCTAGTAAGTCTAGGAGCTAGGTGGGAATCAAATTCAGGTCACCCCTTCCTCCAAGGCCATATAATTTTGCATAATAGTTAAATATGCATCTAAACTCCCTACTAGATTGTAAGCTCCATGAGGGAGAAGATTATATCCAAGGATGTGCTGGAGCCAGTTCAAACCAGAGAGCTGATTGTTAAATTTTCAGTTTAAGCATTTATACTTTGGATATCTGCAAAGGCTACAAATTAGGTTTTAATTTATTGTTCTATTGATTGTCTAGACTTTAGAATCAATGGAGAGAATGATAATAATGCAGAGTAAACTTTCTGCAGAGGTTTTTTTTTTTTTGAGAGTCGGTTATAAAAATATTTACCACTACATCCCTGACTGTGTCTTATCTCAACTTTGTATCTTGCCCAGCACAATTTTCTGCATGCAGTAGGTGGTTAATAAATGTTTATTGAATTGAATTGGATTGAATTGAATGTAGAATTCTATCTGGGACTCAGGAGCCCTGGGTGGGAGAAAAAGGAGGGGTTGCTAAGTTGATATGAAGAGGCTCTGCCTCAGTCTCCTGGGAGCTGAATAATTACAGAAATCCAGGTCTTCATAGTTAGGGACCTTAGAGGGTATCTACTTCAACTGACATTTGAATGAAAGTGTCTTCTCAACATGCCCAACAAATGGCCTTGCAGACTTTGCTTGATGTCCTCCAATGAAGGGGAACCCACTACTTTTGGAGGTCACCCATTCCCCTTTGGGGAAGCTCTAGTTATTAGGAAGTTTTCCCTTACAATAAGCTTAAATTTGCTTCTTTTCTACTTCTACTAAGCTCTTTTAGTTTTGCCATCTGGGATCAAATGGATAGAATTTGAGCCTTTTGCCACATGAAGGCCCTTCAAATACTTGGAGCCAGGTAGCGTGTCCTTCCTGCTGTGAAAAGAGGACACTGTAGATATGAGGGACAGTCTGCACAAAGGCGTGGAAACAGAATATAGAGCATCTGGTGTGAGGAATAGCAGGGACAGATTGGCTCAATTAAAAAAAGTCTGCAAAGGGGAATGATGTGTATATGTACATATATACATATATATATAGATAGATAAATATATATATAAAGGCTGGAAGGTGGGTTGGAGTCAGCATGTGAAGGTAGCCGGGAATCCACAGACCCTCTCCCTTTTCTCCCACACCAGGGCTCTAAAGCTGCATTCAATTCAGCCAACATTTATTAATTGCATTGGAAGAGTCTGTATTTGATTTTAGAGGTACAAGGGAACCACTGAAGTTTACTGAGACGTGATCAGAGATGTTTTAGGACTGTACTTTGGCAGTTGTGTGCGGGATGGATTGCAGGGGAGAGACCTGAGGCAGGGAGACTGACGAGGAGTCTCTTGAAATAGTCCAGGGAAGAGGCAACGAAAACCTGCACTAGCATGGTGGCCATGTGAACGGAGAGAAGGGGATGGATGGGAGAGATGTTGGGGAAGTAGAATTGACAAGATTTGGCAACTGGATACTTGAGGGGAGGGAGAATGAAGAATTGAGGATAATTCCAAGATTTCAAACCCGGGTGACTTGAAGGATGGTAGTGCCCTTGACAGAAAGAGGGATGTTCCCCATGACCTGAGTGCCCAGCACTGAAGGAACTTCATGATAGTGCCATCCTTTTGGGGCTGGGTCAAGCACTTTTGGAAAAGGCCCTGAGCCATGAGTGTAGACATCTCCCAACTGGTCCTTGCGTTACAAGGGCCCTCTTCCCCCCTCATTCCAAGAAGATGGTTTATTTTGCAGCTAATAAGAAAGGGGGCACATTCTTTGCTCCTTAGGGACCCAGAACCAAAACTTTTGATGTGGCTTTGCTAGTCTGGTTGTAATGCCAAATGTCCCACTGACCCTAGAACCTGACACTCTTCTTGAGGGTGGTGATGGGTGTACAGTCTATCCTGTCCCTGTGTCCAAACTCCCTCCTTCTGGATCCAGTCCATTCCTCCTCCCCCCATCCACTGGACTCCCTCCTTACCTCGAATGGAGCTGCCCCCATTGTCCCCTGGGATCCAGGCCAGAGTGATAGAGGAAGCTGAGGTCTTGGAAACAGTCAGACGGGGCTGATCCGGAGGTACTGTAAGGGAAGATTCCAGAGCCTTCTAAGATTTCCCCCTACCACCCACGGCTCACCTTAAAGAGTTAAATCCAATCCCCTAGTCCTCTTGGCATCTCCAAGATGCTAGAATTTCTCTTTGAGTGGTAAGAAATAACTCACAAGACTTATCTCACTGCATAAGCTGAATTGGGTTACCTTGGCCTAGGTTAAAATCCCAAGACTGCTTCTCCATGGGTTTACACCAACCTCCCTCCCAGTGCTTCCCAAACTCTGAACAATTTTGAGCCCTCAAAGTTAAAGGTTGGATCCAAGATGGAGAGGGTGGGGACATTTTGGCATCCCCTATCTCTTTGCATGCCAGACTTCCCTTCATACTTCCATTCTTTCCTATCTCTTTTCATTCTAATCATAAAATCATATATTTAGAGCTGGAGGGGACCTTGGAGGTCATTTAGCCTTTTTTACTGACACCCTAGGGTACTGCCCAAGGTAACTTGGCAGAGCCAGAATCCAAATCAAGATCTTCTGCTTTCCAATCCAGCTCTTGTTTCCAAAATCTGTTTCTGTTACACCCTGGGACCCTGCTTCTTTTCCCTCCTGGAACTACTCTTTTCTTTTCCCCACGGTCTTCAACTTCAATCCTCCTTGGCCAGGTCATGCCTCAGTGCTCTTACCTTGTACCAGCAGGTTGATGATGATGGTATCAAAGCCCCAGGTGTTGGTGGCAGTACAAGTGTAGTAACCGGAGTCCTCAGCCTTTACCGAGCGTAGCACCAGGGTCCCATTGGTTTGGATGAGCCGATGCCCATCTACAGTCACAGCAATAGCAGAGTCCTCACTGTTGGTGGGGGGCAGGATTAACAGGAAACTGGATTCAGAATTCCAGGTAAACTCCTTATCCCTTAGCAACTTCTTTCCCCAAGGCTTGAGGGAGGGTTTGAGGGGGAGTAGAAGGGGTGACAGATGGAGCCCTGGTCAGGAGTCTGGGATTTTTGGTTCTCACTCAGCAACCATACAGTCTCTATTTCCCTGAATGCTCAATGGAGAAGGGACTCCAGACAGAGAGATACCTGGGTGCACTCTGAGAGAGAAGATATGGTATTGTATGAACCTAGGGTCTTACCTATGGTTTCTTGGGAAGGGGTGGGGTAAGGATTAAGTCAAACCCATGTTTAAGGATTCAATGGTCACTTGCCTGTCCTTTGTCCATTTGATGGCTGGGACAGGTTCCCCCACTGAGGTACAGGGCAGTCGGACATCTTTCATCCAGGGTGTGGTCACAGTACCTCCAAATGAGATGATCTTGGCAGGGGCTATGAGGTAAAGAAAGGTAGGTTCTAATTTACCCATTAGCACTTTATCTTTTTACATTCAATTTTATTTTATTTTCGGTTCTGAATTCTCTCTTTCCCTCTCCGGCTCTTCCACTCATTGAAAAGGCAAGGAAAACAAAACTCATTACAAATACGTATTATGAAAAACAAATTTCCTCATTAGCCATCTCTGAAAAGAAAGATGAAGAAAGAAACAGAAGAAAGTACGTTTCAATCTGTACTCTGAATTCATCAGCTCTCTATCTGGAGGGGGACAGCATGTTTCATCATGTGTCATTTGGAAATGTAGTTAGTCACTGTGTTGATCAGTTACTAAAGTCTTTCAAAGTTGATTGTCTTTGCAACCTTGCTATTATTGTATAAATTGTTCTCCTTATTCTCACTTCACTTTGCATCAGTTCATAAAGTCTTCCTGGGTTTTTCTAAAACCACCCCGTTTATCATTTCTTACAGCACAATAGTATCTCATTGCATTTGTGTCCCATAACTTGTTCCGCCATTCCCCAACTGATGGACATCACCTCGGTTTCCAATTCTTTGCCACCACAAAAAGAGGATTAGTACTTTCTAGGGCTATCTTTGCCTGACCTCCACCACTTGCCCTGTGACCTGAAGGAAGGATATTATTGGTGTGTTTGTGTGTGTGTGCATGTATGTGGAATATGGAATGATGCTTCATGAGACAGTTATTTCAGTTCATTGGCCAATAAACCAGTGCAGTCTCTGCAGTGCAGAGAACTGGATATGTCACAACGCTTGGGTCCTAGACCTAGCTATGCTTTGACCTAGATGTCTGATATAATGTAATCCCATAGACTTAGTTTCTTCATCTGTCGAGTGGGGATACAACTTGACATCCGTATCTAGCAGAGTTGCTAGTAAGAATCAAATGACAATTATATAAAGATTCCTTAAAAAGTATAAAGCACTAACTGAATAAACTCTAATACTTCAGTTATCATTGCTTTCTTTAATGACTGTGGGTATTCTCTCTTGCAGTACAGATTCGAGATCCTTCCATGCCTTAGTATAGGCTGTCTTCATGATTCTACTGCCATCTCCACTTTTTCACTTTTCACTCTCTTCTCAACCCTTCACAATCTTAGATTTGATGACTTTTTCTCAGTCCTCCTCTCCCTAGACCTCCCTATAGCTTTTGTTGCTGTCCTTTTCTATACTCTCTTCTCTCTTGGCTTCAGCGATATTGAAAGGGAAGCTGGGAGGGGAAGGAAACTATCTATGTATAGTATACATAGTATATATGAAACTATCTACCAAGCTAGATCTCATGAAGAAAGAATGTAAGAAGGTTATAATATAGCAGTAATGATAATAATAATTATAGCAGCTACCATTCACATAGCACTTTAAGTATTGAAAAGTGCTTTACAAATGTTATCTCATTTGATACTCCTAACAACTCTGGGAGGTGGGTGTTATTATTCCATTTTTACAGATGAGGAAACTGAGGCATACAGCGGTTAAGTGATTTTCCCAGGATCACACAGCTAGGCAGCATCTGAGGCTGGATTTCAATTTAGTCTTCATAACTCCAGGTCCATTGCTCTCCTACTGTATTGCTTAATTGTTCACAGGAGACAAAGTCCAAGAAAGGAGATGGCAAAAACCACACAGACTCAGATATCTATCAAAAATACACAATGTATTGGTAACAAGAAAATTGAACTAGAGATCTTAATGTAAGGAGGCAAATTTGAACTCATAGTTATAACTGAGATTTAGTGAGACTAGACTTGTTTTAGAACATAACTCTGAAAGGGTAGACTTCATTCAAAATGAAGAGAAAAGATAAAAGATGTGGTGGAGTACAATGTAAGTATAAGAAGATACACTCATGTGAGGAAGTCCCAGCATAAGAGAAGGAATGCACAGTGGAGAGCACTTGGGTGAAGATTGAAGGAGAGATAAGCAGAATCAATGTTATCATTGGACTGTACAACAGATACCCGGACAGAAGGAGGAAATAGATAAGGAATTCAGGAAACAGATCACAAGTGTGTATATAGTAATGATGGGAGGCTTCAATTATTAAGCAGGTTATCAATGAAACTCTCTCCTCTCTCTCTCTCTCTCTCTCTCTCTCTCTCTCTCTCTCTCTCTCTCTC